AAATTTAAGAGCAAGACGCCAGGAAAAGGTACGTTGTGAAGCATCCACTCTCAAATCCCTAGCACACATACTGATTTGCGTTGTTAGCCTCTACTGTCTTGCCTAAGAACCTTTACACAACAAAAGCCGGTCAGAGGGCATCCAAACCAGTCACAAAAGGCAAAAATGCCGTTGCATCATATGAGGAAGCGGCAGCACTTTGCAAAGCAAAGGTTGCAAAGATTGTCAAAGAATGTCGTCGAGTGAACCAAAAGTATCGCGATCCACATTTCGATATCGAGTTTGATCTGAAATGGGGCAAAGGCGATTGCCTTCAAATGCTAGAGAACACAAGTGAAAGGTTAACACCTACATTCCGTCCTGGGTCTGTCAAAAGAGTCGGGGACATATTTGACAATCCTCAATTCTACGTCAACCAAGCAAGCGCAAATGATATCAGACAAGGCCGTGATGGTGATTGTTGGTTCATGGCAGCTCTCTGCACATTGGGAAATAAGCCTGGCTTGATTGAAAAGGTCTGTGTTGCCAGAGATGAGGAGATTGGTGTTTATGGCTTCGTCTTCCATCGTGATGGAGAGTGGAGATCAGAAATTATTGATGACAAACTTTATTTAACGAAACCTGATTACGATGAAAGTTGGATTGAACGTAATCTCATCGAAGATCGCCAGCGTATCAACTCCGAAGAGGATTACCGCAAGATTTATCAGAGCAACTCTGGTGCATTGTATTTCGCGCAGTGTGAAGATCCAAACGAAACTTGGTTGCCGTTGCTTGAGAAGGCATATGCAAAAGCTCATGGAGTAAGTCAATCCATCAAGAATTTATAAATCGTACACTGACATGAAGTAGGATTACGCAGCTATAGAAGGAGGTCATACTGGTGAAGGACTCGAGGATCTTACTGGTGGTGTCACAACCGAAGTTTTCAGCACAGACATTCTCGATAAGGAATATTTCTGGAAAGAAGAATTGCTCAAGGTCAATAAAGACTTCCTCTTTGGTTGTGCTGCCGGTATCTTCTGGGGCCGTGGTAATAGAAAAGGTATCTATGAGGGCCATGCTTATTCGATCCTACGAGCTGTGGAGATTGATGGCCAACGACTTGTTTTGTTGAGAAATCCCTGGGGCGAGGGTGAATGGAAGGGTGCATGGAGTAAGTTGAATTTCTCAGTCATGCAAATTATGTTTTTATTAACTTGTGATAGGTGATGGAAGCAAAGAATGGACACCAGAATGGATGAAAAAACTCGAGCATCGATTCGGAGATGATGGTTCATTCTGGATGTCTTATGATGATCTTCTCAAAAAGTTTCAAACATTTGATCGTACAAGATTATTCACCGATGAATGGAAGGTTACTCAGTCATGGGCGTCTATGGAAGTTCCATGGACTGTCAATTATCATGATACAAAATTCTCTTTCACTCTCGATAACGCAGCGCCTGTTATGATTGTTCTCTCTCAACTCGATGGTCGTTACTTCTGTGGGCTCGAAGGACAATACCGATTTGAATTGTCTTTCCGTATCCACAAAGCTGGCGAAGAAGATTACATTGTTCGAAGTCATGGTAACTACTGGATGCGTCGATCCGTTACTGCCGAGTTGGAACTTCCAGCCGGCGAATATGACGTCTTGATGAAAGTCAAAGCTTTCAAAGATGGTAGTTCTTTACCAGTCGAAGATGTCGTTCGCAACAATGCGAAGAAACGTCGTGATAAGCTTTCTCGAATTGGTCTATCTTACGATCTAGCTCATGCTAAGGGAGTTGTCAGAGAGACTCCCGAGGAAAAGAAAGCTAGAAAGGAAGCCGAGGAGAAGAGAAAGGAAAAGGCGAGAAAGGAAGTTAAGGAGCGATTGATGAAGGAAAAGAAGAAGAGGGTTCATAATGACAATAAAGAAAAGCGAAAACTTCAAGAAAAGAAAATTAAGCGTATGGCAAAAGCAAAGACTAAGAAAGCCAAGAAGGCAGCTAAAGAAGCAGCTTTAAAGGCTGTGGAGGAAGAGGCGAAAAAGGCAGCTGAAGATATTGCCAAGGTCATTGCAGAGCGAACTGCAAAGGATACTAGTGATGAAGCTTCAAAGACCGACGATAAGGTTGTGGAGGTCAAATCCATCGAAATTGATGGCGAGAATATCTCTACTAATGATGTCTCATCTGATAAATCATCAGAGATTGAGAAGCCGGCGAAAATATCTAAGCCCACGTCAGAGGCGCCTGGAAACTCAACATCCACGAGTGGATCGGCCAATACGTTGACGGGTACTAACTCAAGCGATGACAAAGTTATCCAAGTCAAGGCCATAAATGTTGATGTCAAATCAACTACAGTCACCCCACAATCAGTGCCTAATCTCACAAACCTATCAATTCCAATTCCACCCAAATCCCCCATCGTCGACGATGACGACTCTGATCTTGAATCCATTTGTTCCGACATCTCCGACATAACCGTCGGCGTTCTAGACGATGTTCTTGAAAAAGAAGCTAAAGCAACTCCTCCCCCTTCACCAACCAAAGGCGAGGATGATGTAGAAGATGAGTTCGAGAAGGATCCTTGGAATGCTGTTTTAGTAGTGGGCCTCAGAGTTTATAGTAAGGAGAGTGCTGTGACCGTACAGGTCAAGAGGGAGAGGAAATGGGAAGAACCACAGAAGAAAAAGAAGAAGAGAGATATTATGGGAGAAGAGATTAGTAGTGACGAGGAAGATGAAGAGGATTCAATGGAGATTGGAGAGAAGAAATTGGACGTGGATGATTCGGCGGCAGATGCGGCAGATCAGGCCGTGGAGGGGGCGGTGGATAGTCCGATTGTGGAGAAGGGAGATCCGATCGTTGAAGTGGGAAAAGGGAAGGGCAAGGAAGAGGAGAAGAAAGATGAAAGCGAAAAAATCGAAGAAACTCCGACCACTGAGCTAGAGAGTGACGAAACGAGGGAAAAAATCGAAGAAACTCCGACCACTGAAATAGAGAGTGACGAAACGAAATCCGGAACTGCAGTCCAGGAAGTAGAAACCGAGACTGAGAAAATTGACGAAACCCAAGTCGAGGATTCTACTACTGGCTCTACCGTCAAAGTAGAAGTGGAAGTTGAGGTCGAAGTTGTTACCAAGGAAGAAAGTAAGAAAGAAGAAGTAGATCAGGAACAGGAAACTGTTAGTCAGAAGGATAGCGACGAGAGTTCCTCGGTCGTTATCGTTTAGAAATTTTGGTTTTCAGACGGGACGGAACAGGCTTGATGGTAAGCTATTTGGTGGGAATTACTGGACAGGATTGGTTTATTTACTTTTAATGATTCCCCTCTTTCTTATTGGTTTGATGGTGTTTTTTTGGGGGGGGTTTCTGGACGGGTTGATGGATAGTCTTACGAATACGTATCAGGAATTGGCGGGTCCATAACTCCTCTCTTTCGTATTGGTATTTTTGGGGCGGAGGAATGAAATGGATGACCCATTCACTAGATTGCTTAGTAGCTCGATAGTAGGTACTTGGTAGATAGATATTCCGAATTCTAGGCGTTGATCTCATGAATTGGCTTATTTCTGATCTGGTTTGATGTGAGTTGATTTGATTTTTGCACTGTGAGTTCCCAATTGTAGTGACCGAGTGTCTAAGACCTGTATATTAGCCGTTACAATTCGATTGTATTTAGGGATATAAAGCAATTTAATTGTTATAATATATCATTATCCGATATCCTCGAATTTATATCTGACTTATAGAAGTCTTAATATCTAATCTCGTCTTAGCATTTAAGTGTCTATACCCATATCTAGCAATAAGAAACCAATATAGACCCAGTATCTCTATGAAATACCAGCATCTATCCTCACCAGCCACTTCCCGCCAAGTCTCAATTGTGATTAACAAGTGGACATTAGATCGTCCATCTATCTAGATCCATCCATCACCTCATGCTATCAGAAAGTATACAACTCCGCCGCTAAGGAAACCATGTTACTCCTGTAGTTTACCATCTTGTGGTATGTGCATCTAGCCTCAAATTTGCATACTTTATGACAGCATGCGTACCTAGGTAAAAACATCCATCACATCCATCCTCTAAACCTTATTTCAACCTCTCTCGGATATATTCTTCATGGTTCATCACATAATCCTACACTAAGAGAAACTATCATGTAAAGAAATCCACTTCCTGTTTAGAAAAATTGGGGATGGGGAATTATTGCGGAGTTGGTTGTTGTTGAAGGGCGTGCTGCCTGCGGGGACCCACTAAATGCTGAGAATGACTAAGATGAGCTTTGGGGAAGAAGTTGCTTCTTTCTCTTGACTATGAGAGATCTTCTTGTTTGTTTTTATTCTTGTTGATAGTTTCTATGTTCTGAATATATGATTCTTCTGGGAATTCATGATTGATGATGTTTCAATTGAATTGATGATCTGAATTTGGAGTTATGGATATCGAAATGAAAGTTTCTGGAGAGTCACCAACACTTGACGGCTCACTCAGTACGATTATGCATAATTGAGGAATTGGACTGATTTTTCTACAAATCATAAGTATGTTTTCTAGTAAAATGGAAGAGGACTATTCTGACTTACACTTCTTAAGGTTGATATTATAATGTTGCTCCATGTTGAGTTGCCGTTGGTAAATTCTTCATCTTGACGCGAGATCTTTCTCACGCCCCTCTCTTACACCGAAGAAATCGATACCATCATTCATTTCTTCTTTAACGTTTTGACAGAGCGAAATGATTGATGGATACAACGATTAAGGGAACTGGACCCTCAAAATGCATTATCGGATCAGAAACGTTCTCCATTATCAAACCTCATCAATCATGCGCCACCACAGAATCGACATCTCACGCGTCACAGGTAATAGAAATCTGAATCTGAAAGTTTTCCTTAATTACCAGGATATCTTTAGGGTATGTAGCTAGACCTTAACGAATGAGATCCCAGCCCAAATGGGTATATGATCCATCAAACAAAGTACACGAAGTGTAAAGCAAACCACGTACGAATCCTCCTCTACGCAATCCAGAACCAGATCTTCTCCAACATATTTCTTGGCACCAAATCTGGCCATTGGTCATCCTCTGCATCCAAGGCTGCCTTACCAGTGTAGATATCGGCATCAGCTGACGGGATCCACTTGGTGCGCTTGAAAACCTTCCAAAATCCGTAAAGCAAAAAGAAGATCGGAATTCCGATGTATGCGGTGAGGAAATCTATAAAAGTTAGGATGAGTCTCACAAAGTTCAGTACAAATACTTACTGGTAACATTCCAGTGGGAGTGGTTCTTGCCAACAAAGACATCAAATCCATTGAAGAGGATGATCATGACGAAGAAACCCAAAGCGATCCAGGCCGTGTATGGCTGGAATCTACTCTTGAAGACAAGAGTGTTTCTATCGACACCTTGGGCTACCAAAGCGTTGTGGAATTTGATGTACGCGACGCAAATGGAGCACCAGGTGAAAAGGGAAGCAATGGTGGTCAAATTTTGGAACCACGTAAAAGCGGTTGAGGCGCCACCGGAACCGACTGACAAAAATGTGATAAGCGAGATTGAAGCTGTGCACAAAACAGCCCAGTATGGAACACCTGCCTTGCTGCATCGGAGAAGGAATTTTGGGGCTTGCTTGTTCTGGGCAAGGGCGAACAAGTAACGAGATCCGGTATACAAAAAGGCATTGGCGGATGAAGTGGCGGAGGTTAAGATGACTGCATTGATAATCGATGGCAATACTGGAATACCGGCGTTTTGGATACCAATAACCCATGGAGATCGAGCGGCACCTGCGGCACCTGCGGCTTGAGCCTTGAGCAAATGTTCATCGCTGGAGGAAACAAGGACACCAATAGCCAATGAACCAAGGACATAAAAGAACAAAATTCTCCAGAAAACTCTGCGGACAGCCTTTGGAATATTCTTGCGTGGATTTTCGGCTTCACCAGCGGCTACAGCGACCATCTCAACACCACCATATGAGAAGGCGGCGTTGACGAGAGTTGAGAAGAGACCGAGGAATCGACCTGTGTCTCCAGTGGAGTCGTATTGCAACATGAATTGTCCGTGTTTCCAGTAACGGAAACCAAGACGATCATGCCTAGGGTTTCCTCCGAGGTCCACAATAAATGCCATGATCAAAAGCCCCACGATTGTAATAATTTTGATACTGGCGAAGACGAACTCGGCTTCTCCGTAGATGGACACAGCGAAGATGTTAAGGCAGATGACAAGAACGATAATTAAACTGATCCATGCGGCGACATTGATATGCACTGCTCCTGGCCAGTATTGAATGACGACTGCAGCAGCTGAGATTTCCGCACACAAGGTAATCGCGGCAGAATACCAGTTCTAATTGATCACCAAAGTCAGCATAAGCTCACGAAATCAGATCCCGAGTGTATGATCATAGACTTGTGTATTTCAACACTCCGCAGCAGGGTTCCATGACAACTTTACGAGAGTCAGTGAATCAACTTACATTCCATCCGACAGCAAATCCGAGCGCATCATCAACATAACGAGCAGCGAATTGTGGGATGGCTCCAGGTAGAGGTAACCATGTAGCCATCTCACCCAAGCACTGCATCATGGCAAAGATGGCAATACCAGTGATACTATAGCCCAAGAGCAACGAGAGAGGACCGGCTTGTGTAAGAGCACTTCCAATACCCAAGAAAAGACCAGTACCAATGGTACCACCAAGCGCAATGAATTGAATGTGTCTCGATTTCAGTCTACATGTAAAGTTACAGTTAGATTTCGTTGGTCATGAATTTTTGGATTATACGTGAGCCTTACCCTCGAGAAACGTAACCATATTCTTCAGCAGTCTCAATGTTTCCATAGAGCTCACCAGCTTCATGCAAGCCAGCAGATTTTGTTGCATGACCGGTAGTCGGATCTACATATTGGGAACGAGCATGATTTCCGTTGTAGTCAGGCGACGAGGACTCGTCGACGTTGTAGTGTTCCTTCTCCATTGTTGTGGTTGAGAAAATGGATCGATATTGACGAGGAGGGAATAGGGAAGAAAAGGGGCAATCAAAAGAAGAGGGAGGTCGAGCAACTTTATACAAGCACAACGATCAAAGGTGAATGATACCCAAGAGACACGACTAGTGAATTAATATTTGGGCGGTTCAACCTACCCTGCTGTACGAAAACGCCATTGCAAGCCCTCTGCAGCTGCAAGTTGTTTCAATTTCCAGCTCCTCGGCCCATCAGATGTGATGGGAAAATTCAATTTGGATAATCAAACACGCAGATTGGTCAGGGTCGAAAGCGATAACCAGGATTTGGAAACGGGGGCACCGTCAACTATAATACACTCTTCGATCCGAATATGAATTAGTCGCTATTCATATTTGAAAGTATTTGGATGGGAATCTTCCTTCGTTATCAGGGTGCATGGATTCGAGGATTCTTGCAGAAAGTCGCTAGGGTCAATGTGATTTACTGGCGCGGAATTTAATTCGTCGTAAACGACAAGGATTGTTTGAATACACCATTCAACACAATATCAGTAGGCTTGCTACGGCAGGTCGTACAAGCTGTATAGGTTGCAGAGCATTTGCTGATGCCTTGAATGCCACCTGCAACATTTGACTTAGCATACTGCTGCATACGGGTTAAATAGGCATCCGTTAAGCCCAAGATTACTAATAAAGTTTTATATATGTGTGAGAGCGCCCAGGAACAACAAGACTGTAACGACAGCTAACTTGGCTTCCAATGCGAAGGAAGGACGTGATGACTCTCACTTTCTACGATGATAGGCTTCGTTCTAGGTCTAACTTGTATTTTCGGAGAGCCCGCCGATTGACCTGCCATTTTAGAGGAGCAGCCGAGATAATACTTCTCATATTCGATACAACCTGGGACGAAAAATGCAAATGAAAGATTCAATATTCCCATTCATTAACCTTATTAAGTTTTTGAGATACGAGATTATATCTAACCAATCATACAATCCAAATACAAATAGCATTGTTAGGGATAGTTGATAAGCTGACTAGGGAGGATTTAACAACAACCAATAACCGAGGCCTGCAGGAGACTATATTGAGCTTAGTGTACTTTCGTTAGCTCAAGGGTCCGATGCTTAGGTGGGCAATTTCAAGAGAATCTAATGAGACGGGAGGTTGCAGGCTTACTTCTTATGGTGTGCTGACAACTTAATCAAGCTTCAGCAAAGGTCTAGCTTTCGAAGAGTTGAGGTATACTTCGTACAGATCCTTCAGATCAATGGTTGATCACGTCAAAAAATAGCAGCTAGCGACACAAGACTTCTTATCGCAGAAACAACCCGATCAAATAGAAAGTCCAAGAGCACAAAATCTCCGTGTGACCACACGGAAGTCGTACTGTATGAGGAATTATTCCTAAATCGAGAAAGCCACAACCTTGGATTGAACGCAGGCCGGAGGCGATACTTGTTTCACTACAGTGAGCAGATAGAGAGAACACGAGAGCTCTCTCTAGAGGAGGCAGAAGGGCCGTAGCAAGAGTCACTGTCAAACGTAACACTAAAAGGCGGTAACTATTGCAGATATTCCGCTGTCGTCTTTATCGAATGAAGTAAGCTTCTGGAATTCTGCATCGAAGGTCCTGTTTCCGTAGCGATATGTTCGAGCCTTGTCCAATGACTCCAGTCCGTGTGGATGCTGACAAGTTTACAGGGGACCCATGTCTTCCTCTCCGCATACCCCAACCTTGCCAAGATACGAATGATAAGGACCAGGCGAATGGCAAGATCACATCACCCTCCATTTCAACCTGATCCGACAACTTTCTTGCATAAAAGTTTCTGTCAACAAGCATTCAACAAGCATTTTGCCACGATATTCCATAGAAGCTAATGGGCTTCCACGGGAGAAGCATTCGAACTTCTAGAAAATGTCTCGAAACGGATCTTATCGTGAATCAATACTAATAGTTGGTTTTTGATATTTAGCACACACACGCGTTCAAGATAGACCCGTAAAATAATCGCGAGATTAGCTCTAGACTAACCAACCGTTAGATTCTCGGATTCGTTGACCGACCGGGCATTTTCCTTATCTTCGAACACCTGGTCAAATTGAAGCTCACGTCGAAGAGTGGACAGACATTGACAGTTCCTGCCGGGACATAATCTTACAACATCTCAAGGGTCAATTTTAGGGTGTGGCCCGATAAGGAAGGTCGAAATAATTGTACTAACCATGTGTGGATCTGATACCATTCAATCATCCCTCCTTTTGATATCCTCATATTAGGTACATATGTTACGACTAATGGTGACAGAGTTTCTGTCGCACGAAAGATTCTTCACTACAGCCCGAAGCTTGAGGTATTTATGTACTTACGCTTCTCTCTCATCTCGTACCACAAATCATCATCTTCCACAAGTACATACTTCCTGCGCATTTTATGTAAGTGCATTCGATGCAATGTTGTCAATTGAGGTACGCAAGGAGAATCTAGATCATGTGAGGCGGGGAAGTCAAGCTGATAATAGGCTATACTCTTCTTCTTGAACGAGGGTCTTGGCCGAAGTAGAAACAAGCTTGCGCCGAGTGTATCCGCTTTTTTCCTCGGTTGACATCCCGTTTTCTACAAACTAGTCCATTCACGTGGTCAAGTCCCAAAAGCTATTATTATGTATCGCCCGCGTTCTTGGAAGTCTAAGCGTAAATTGAATAGCTTCATTTTTCTCGAGTCGCGTGTTTTGGGGATGGGAACATTTCGGTAATACTCGTGAGCATAAGCCACTATCGGGCGCTGGACCTGTCTCAGATTTACGGAGTAGGCGTGAGATGTCATCAAGTACCAAGTGGGGGGGTGTTCATTGCTTTTAACGTGTTTTCGCCGCACGTACGCAAGCCTTAGGAGGGATCAGATGATAAGGGACGAAGTTGATGATAAGTGACGAATTTTATCCTCATCTTGATTTGAGTGTTGAAGCTTATAGAATTACCTTAAATAAGACGGTGTGCGGTGTGATGAACTGAACTAGGGTTCAAGACACTCGGCGTGTTGTTTTATTTCAACCAATCTTGGCTTGTCCCTTTCTGTTGGTACGGCCTTCCTCATCTGATTTCGGATAGCTTTCAGGCTATGCGAGTAATGGTACATTGAAATTGATTCTGCCTTGGCAAATCCGTTATGAGGTTCTACACGGTCGTGGGTTATTACCGGGAAATCAATGGACAAGGTCTAATCTCTGAGTGTTGTTGGTGTCTTGTCTCGAGAGTCTCTGGTCAAAACATGATTCAAAGACGCAAGGCTAGACATTCGCTGTGTATTAATCACACTTGAAAGACACTAGGCAGATGGGCAGATAGGTAGGCGGCCCACGGGGTTGAATCCTTTCGTTTATGATAATGTCAGAATGAGGTGAGCAGTGAAGGGCGATAATCTACCAGCTCTGGTATTGATTTGTTTCTGTGTCGCGGCGAAGCGCTTATTATTTGATGAAAGTAGAGCCATAGCGGTGAGATGTTTCCCGCTGTTATCTCTCTTCTGTCTTTTCGTTTTGGTTAGTTTATTTCATTTCTGTTGTAGCAAATCTAGATCTCGGTCTTGATTGGGGTTGTATTGCAATGTCCGGCGATATTCGCCTGTGAGGTTTTCAGAACCAATGAATCCGTTAGTGGAAAGTGGTTTTTTTTTGAGGGAGGCAAGAAGATGCTAGCATGAGGCAACTTTCCTCTCCTACCTTTGACAACCTGAGACCTTTATATTTTCGCGCGCCAAGATTCAATTGTACCTGCGTGCATAGCATCAACTCCAATTTCATCGCCCATTTTGATTTACTACATGGCTCACTGAGCAGTATGAAACTCTGCCAGGCCAGATACTTATCGAGCCCGTTGATCTTCTCAGTATTCATGCTTCTGGATGGACAAGTAACAACCCAAGGGTCAATTCAGATTCGACCAGTTAGATAAAACAAGCTATTTGGAATTCAATTCCCCGGATGCTCAATTGTTAAGTTCTGTCTTGGTGCTATACCAATCCTAGAGTCTTGATGTCATCAACCAAGCCACGTTGTTGAATTTAATAAAAGATCCTCGTGACCCCGGTTGATATGGCTAATTGTCTGATGAAAAACTATTACGGGGAGTAAGTAAGCATATCTAAATAGAGTATTGAAATCGTTCACACGGTTAGCTCAAAGTCAAACTGACAATGATCATGAAACTTGCGATGTCGTTCTTGGGATCCAAGCAGATTTTCAGATTGACGTCATTCAAATCACAATATGAGTGACGAGAACCGTTCTTGAACGTATCATCGTGAGAACTTCAAGAGTGAAACAAAGATATTTTGAGATCACGGTGTCAATATTTTAATTCAAGCTTCTCTTTTGAGGTCGCAGGCCGCTACCCATTCGCCATACTGTAATGCTAAAGTCAAAAGAGCCCTCATAACTTCGGTAACTAGGGGATAAAGTTGAACTGCTTTCAAATTCAGTTATGGATAGGTGAATTTCTCTTCCCTATACATGAATCATCTATTGATGTTTAAATTAGCCATTATATTCGGTAATGATCGATCTTCAACGCAATTCTAAGAACATTAACCACATGTTATACGTTAAAACAGAACCTGAGAAGAGCGCAGATGTACACTGCTATCCCATCTATTTTCTATTGCTGTAGAACTTGAGAAATTGATGTTTTACAATATCCTTGAAGAAAATGAGAAGGTTTGGGTTCTTGAAGCTTCAGGTATAGCATAGCATTTTGATTTTGGTGGCTAATTCCTGCTTCGTTTGAGGTTGTTTTTGCTGATATCGACTCTTAAGCGCTTGAAGTATCTGGCGGAGTAGAATAGATTTGGGAAATCAATCTTCCTAGACTCGAGAGAGGAAAATGGATTGGAGAATGGGAATTTGCAAGGTTCGGAAGATCTTAAGACTGGCAGGAAGGGACTGGGGGGGATGTGCTATTGTTTAGAGAGAATGTCTATATCGTGAAGATGATTATGCTGGAAT